CAGTACCAATTAACGCTGAGATGGATGAAGGCTACCTCAATGACCAAGCTGCCTATATCGAACCAAATGATGATCAACAATAGGAACTCCATCAACTACCTCTTGGACAAGAAGCTGAGGAACAAGCGATGGAGGAAACCTTTACGGTTGAATCAACTGAAGAGGCTCCTCAAAACGTCACATTACCAAGGCTTGCGGCGCGAGATGAGTATGATACTGATATCATGCAGCGCCACTCCCTACCTGATGATCATCTCTTAGTGCGAAGAAGGAAGGAATACTCCAAGAGAAAGTTTCTCACAGATTCATCGACCGTTAATCAGTTTTTTGCAAAGAAGCTTCAACGTGGTGAAGGAAGTGGTCGAGATACACAAGTGGAGACTACGGAGGACTGTGATGGAAGTGAAAAAGCACAGCTGAACAAGGACGAAGGCGCGGTGGGCCCAAATCCACCACTTCCACCATGAAGACAGCCTGCTGGAACTGTCAAGGCCTGGGCAATGACCTGACAGTTCGACGCCTAAAGGAGATAAATCGTAAGTATCTCCCAGACATCATTTTCCTATCAGAAACGAAGCAGCATGATGTCTATGTACGAGAGGTTGGCGATCAATTAGGTTTCGTTAATCATGTAATAGCCCCACCAGTTGGCTTAAGTGATGGTTTAGCTCTCTTTTGGAAGCAAGATGTAGATTTAGTTTGCTCTTTTCAATCCCCTAATCGCATCGATTGTAAAGTTACAAGCAATGGAATGAGTTTCTACTATTCATTCGTGTATGGTTATCCCAATCGACCAGACCGCCATCTGCTTTGAGAAAGACTAGAACGTCTAGAAATAACAAGACGTGGTGAACCATGGCTTCTATGTGGAGACTTCAATGAAATACTTCATAATCAAGAGAAATTGGGAGGGCCGTTGAGACATGATCTACTTTTGCAGACTTCAGACGAGTTGTGCAAAGATGTAATCTTTAAGACCTACCTTTCACGGGTGATAGATATTCATGGTTTGGATAAAGAGGCACACAAAAGATTAAGTGCTGTTTGGATCGAACGATGGTGAATAGTGAATGGCTTAACTCTTTTACAGCGTCTGAAACAGAATTTATTGAAGTTGGAGAGTCAGATCATAGTCCGATCATTGTTTTCATCTCCGATATTGTTGAAGCAAGAAGGAAGGTTTTTCGATTTGACAGTCGTGTGATTAATAAAGACAGCTTTAAGGAAGCGACTATTCACGGTTGGCATTCACAGCTACCAAACAGAGGAGCATCCCCCAATCTTTTCAACAGACTGGTCTGTTGCAGGCAAAGCATCTCTCAATGGAAAAAACCAATTCAATAAACGCTGAAGAGAGGATTAGAAACATACGCTTTAAACTTGAGCAGATGATCTCTGTGGGAGGCTCTACAACTGCCGAACAGAACTCATTGAAAAAGGAGCTACATCGGGCCTATTTGGATGAAGAGATGCATTGGAAAGTTAAGAGCAGAAACTCATGGTTATCTGCAGGAGACCGGAACACCAAATACTTTCACTCCGTCACAAAAGCAAGACAAGCAAAGTCCAAATTACACATTATCCTTGACCATAATAGAGCGATTCATCGAGGAGATACTGCAATTGCAAAGGTGACCGAAGAATACTTTCAGAAGATTTATACATCTACACTGGTCTCTGATGCAACTATCTCTGAATTTTTTCAAAATTTCCCTGCCCGGGTAACAAAGGAAATAAATGAAAAACTTTCTAAAGAAGTGAGTCTTGAGGAAATAAGGGAGGCGGTCTTTGATATTGGCCCGATGAAAGCTCCGGGACCTGACGGCTTCACCGGAGCATTCTTCCAACATTTCTGGACAGATATAAATCAGGAAGTGATACAAGAGATCAAAGCTTTTTTCAGTCAAGGTGAATTCAATATCCAACATAATCAAACGAACATCTGTCCTATTCCAAAGATGTCTCCGGCTACAAGTATGACATAATACCGTCCTATTGCCTTATGTAATGTATCATATAAGATCATTTTGAAGATTCTAGTCAATCGCCTCAAGCATCATCTTCCCAGCATCATATCAGAGAACTAAGCAGCTTTTATACCTCGAAGGATGATTTCCGATAATCTAACTATTGCCCACAAGATGTTTCATAGTCTCAAGGTACGTAAGCGCCAATCCCAGTCTTATATGGCTTTGAAAACTGATATTACTAAGGCATATGATCGACTGGAGTGGAAGTTTCTAGAGGAGACTTTGAATAGAATGGGATTCTGTTCAAAATGGATCCAATGGGTTATGCTCTGTGTTACAACAGTCCGCTACTCTGTCTTGATTAATGGTACTCCAAGATGATGTATCTTTCCTGAACAAGGACTTCGACAGGGCGACCCCCTAAGCCCTTACCTCTTCATTTTATGTGCTGAGACACTTTCTCCTCTGCTTCATAGAGCTACGGAAGAAAGGAAACTAACTGGCATGAAAATATGCAACAGAGGACCAGCTTTAAGCTATCTGCTCTTCGCAGATGATTCTTTATTATTCATTCTGGCCAATGAGAAATCTTGTAAGACCATCAAAGAAATTCTCTGTTTATATGAGGCAGGATCAGGACAAGCGGTTAATCTCAGTAAGTCGTCCATCACCTTTGGCCGTTTAGTTAAGGACAATACAAAACGACGAATGCGACATATACTTGGTATACATAATGACGGACGTGGAGGCAAGTATTTGGGGTTACCAGAACAATTTGGAAGCAAGAAATCCGAAATGCTCCAATTCATTTTAGACAGAGTCAAAGCAAGAACTCAAGGGTGGAATAAGCAATTCCTATCACAAGGAGAAAAGGAAGTTCTTTTGAAATCTATCGCCACTGCGATGTCGGTCTTCTCCATGAATATATTTAAATTGCCGAAACAAATATGTGCAGATATTGATAGTATTTTTGCAAAATTTTGGTGGGGCTCTGGACAGGAAAGAATAGGCATGCACTGGTATGCATGGAAACAACTAAGTTTACCGAAGAAAGAAGGGGGTTTAGGCTTCAAGGATATCGAAAAATGCAACCAAGCTTTGTTAGGAAAACAAGCATAGCGACTGCTACAGGAACCTGAATGCCTTATGTCAAGAATGCTACGAGGTAGATACTACAATGATGGCAATATACTAACGGCTAAAGACCAAAAACAATCATCTTATGCGTGGAAATCAATTCTCTATGGTCGTGATCTACTACAACAAGGTCTAAGATGGCTGATTGGAGATGGTACGAAGATAAATTTTTGGTCAGATAATTGGCTTAATATTCACCCTCTACGAGCTCCAATGCCCAACTACGATAGAATAGACAGATCAAGTATTCGAGATTGGTTCAACACATATGGTACATGATGGAATACAAATAAGATAAAGGAGTTTGTGGAAGACGACGATGCTACGAGGATTATCAACACTAAGATATTCCCACGGCAAGGTACTGATATGTTAAGCTGGCATTATACGAAAGATGGAATCTATTCGGTCAAATCAGCTTATTGGTCGGCCTGTCATCCGCTACATCACATTTCGACATGGACTACTCCCGGTGACCAGAAACTCAAAAGACGAATTTGGCAAATCAAGACACCACCAAAGTTGAAACATTTTCTCTGGAGAATATTAACAAAATCCTTAGCCACAGGGGAGGCTTTACAATCTTGACATATCTCTACAAACTCCATTTGTCCACGGTGCTGTCTTACTATAGAAACAACACAACATTTCTTTTTCGATTGTTTATATGCACAAGCAATGTGACGAGGAGCTGGAATTTCAAATCCAATTATTTACGATAACAATGGAGCCCTTGAAGACAAGTTGCGTTTTATTGTAGAGTATTTTTCAGGACACTTACCAACATCTGAAACAAATACCATTGGCGATTCTGTGGAGACTTTGGAAAAGCCGCAACATGCTTATTTTTCAGCAAAAATCAATTCCATGGAATACAAATCTTAATTATGCTAGGGGAAATGCAGAAGAATGGGTACTAGCCTGTTCATCTGAACATGATACAACAGATCCCGGAATACAGGTAAACCATAACTATTCCAGTCAATCTACTTGGACAAAACCTGATGCCGAAAATCTGAAGTGCAACTTTGACGGATCATACCTACCCAACACGTTGGAAGCAAACGCAGGATGGCTAATAAGAGATGCTGGAGGGAACTACAAAGGATCTAGACATGTTCGGGGTATACATGTCAACAACGCTTTGGAAAGTGAATGTCAAGCATTAATATTAGCAATGCAAAAAGTTTGGAACAGAGGCTACACAAGAATGATTTTTGAAGGGGATAGTAAGGAGCTAATTAATATCATGTAGTGTAAGAAGATTAACTTTGGTATCCATAATTGGATTTGAGAGGCAAGACATTGGCAACGGAGATTTGAAAATGTCCAGTATTCGTGGGTTAGACGAGAATCAAACCAACCGGCACACATTTTGGCTTCACTACAAGCTCGTAGCTCTCAATCATGTTATTATCAAAATGTTCCAATATGTATTGAACAGGCTCTGATCAGAGACCATTGTAAGACATTAAGTAATTCATAATATAGATGAAAAAAAAAAGTATAAACCAAAATTTATACGTGTAAATCCTGTATTTTTGGTTTGAATTTCTAAAACATTTTAATTAATTTATAGCTTTTGATAAAATAAAAAAGTACAAGACAAATTCGAGGGAAACTTATTCTTCAAAAAGAACTATTTTTTTGTCCCACGATATAATTAAAATTGATTGTTTCAGCTAATTTTGATTTAATTTGATCGTAAACAAACAAACTTTAAATCTAATCAGTAATACTTAAGACTTGAACCACCCTATCGTCCAACAAATGTAGTCGAAAAGTCATAACAAACCGTCGAATTCACATATGTAGTAGTTGATTGAAACATTTTTAACTGCACCAAATCACAAAAGTTCTTCCTAGCAAAATAATTAAAAATAAACAAATAGTTCTCTGTTCACATTAATTTCTTTGCCCCACGTACAACTCTCTCTCTCTCTCTCTCCCCTTTAAAACCAAGAAAGATATTAACTTCTTCCATTAGACAAAGAACAAAAGAATCGCAAATATGTCAAACCCATTTCTTTCATCGCTGTGTTTTCTACTTCTCCACCACATCAACCCCAAATCTTGAATATATAGAGACCGAAGAAAAACATAGATCAAAGAAGACTCATATATATCATCCGATCTTTCATCTATGGGGGCAGCTTCATCGAGCCTTGCCGGATCCGAGCCTTTTGAAAGAAAATTATGCGGTCTCGAAGACGTGCCAGAGAATTGTATAACGGCAATGTTCATGTACATGGAGCCACCGGAGATATGCCTACTCGCGAGGGTAAATAGGTCATTTCATAGAGCGTCGAGATCAGACACGGTATGGGAACAGAAGCTTCCTCGTAACTACAAGTTCCTGGTCGGAAGAATCCTTGAAGATCAACAAGAAGAAGGTCGAAAGGACAAACTTATCAGCCGCAAGAAAGAGATCTATGCAAGGCTTTGCCGACCAAACCTTTTCGACGCCGGCACAAAGGTTCTATCCTCAAATAATATTTATTTATATTTTTTGTTTAGAATCTTTTGATATATTTGATGGTCAATTACGTTCCCTTAGATATTTCTTGGGGTGTAGTGTAGAAATGGAAAATATTTGGCGGTTTTTTTTTATAAATGTCTAATTTAGTCTTATTTCATTTAATGACTAAAACAAAAGTGTTAGAAAAGCTTACAGGGACAGTAGAATAAGTTTTTATGAATCCATTGATAATGTTAAACATTCATGCCTAAAGTATTAATAGTTATTCCACATTATACCTAAAATATTTAGTTAATAATACAATAACTATTACTATTTTCCACACTTGGTGCAAAAAATAATATAACTATAGTTAGATTTTTTAAATTACTTTTTCGTATCTTTTTGGTCATATTGGTTTTTTTATATTATAAATAGGATATGTACGAACAATTGCCATTTGCCAAGTTGAAATGAATAGAGAATAAACTGCACCACTATTTTGAAAAGATATTTTGCAACTCAGTTTTCTTTCTTTTGTGTCTAATTCGGTTTCATTGCAAATTCATTTTATCATAGAAAAAATAAAATTGGAATCTATGAATAAAATTGGATCATTTTATGGTACAGTGGTTCCGTATGTTTGAATTTGACTTGCAAATCAAATAAAAAAGCTAATTTTAATAACATTATTACCAAAAAAAGGCTAATTTTAAAATCCGTCGACTAAATGGGTGTGTCATGTGTGTACGAAAGAAGAAACAAAACAAGTATTATAATATAGAAACAAATTTAAAGTTGGTTGCCATTTATTCATATATTTAGAATAGCCCTATTAGTAAAAGTAAATGTTTGGATTGTTAATAAAAAAAGGTAGCATGGCTGGACAAGAGAAGTGGGAAAGTGTGTTTGGCGATATCACCAAAGGCAATGAAGATAACCGGATTTGATGATCGCCGATATTGGGAAGATATTGCTTCTGATGAATCCAGGTCATTTATATATATATATATATATATATATATATATATCTTTGTTTTTATTATTTTTTCTCAAATTTCTTTTATCGATAAAATATATAAACCAGTCTATCTGGCCGACCGGTTCAAGTACAAACAGATCTAGAAGAGTTTCGGTTTGGACTGACTAACAAAAAAATATACACAAAGAAAACAAAATATCTAGAAGAGTTTCGGTTTGGAGTCTTTGGACTGAATAAATATACACAAAGAAAACAAAATGAATAAAATTCAGTATTTTTTTTTTTTAAAAAAAGCAAAGTTCGTGAGGATTAATAATTTAAGCCTAAACTCTGCTGATTTGAGTATCTGATTGTGCTTTAAACGTATCGTTATTTCTAGTAAGAAATAAAGACTTCGTCAAAATAAAGACTTTGTCAGCATTTCTTTGTTTCTCTTTCAAACTAATCATTGGATAATAAAAAAATGTGATTGTTAGCTACAAATTATATACACATGCAATGACTTTGGTCAAAGTTGAAGATTACACATTTCGTATTCAGCCACTCTTCTACGTCGGAATAAAAAAACTAGGATTTTTTTTTTCATTTTAAATTAAACTAGTTTATAAAAATACATATTTAAAAAAATGAAAACCATTTAGTATTTTTTGTTTTAAAGACGGTAAACCCACAATAGCTTACTATTGCAATAATCTGGTACAAATTTTTGAAACATATAAATGGTACATGTAGTGGCAAAATATTACTCTACGACTATGATTATTTATACATACAATAAGAAACTAAACGCGTATACGAAATGTATAATGACGTATGTGTATAAATATAGATGAATCGTTTATACATGTAGAATCTTTAGATAAGCTCGAGCTGTTTTGTTTAGTGAATGGGGAAAGTTATGGGTCCTCAACGAAAATGTCATTTTCTCTTATCCCAAATTTCCTCGACCATATCAATAATTGGATGGCTTTCTTTCAACTATCATCTTTTTTTTTCCAATTTGCCCACATATCTCTTTTTTCCTCATATCATTTTTAATGAAAATAATTTGGAAACTTTATCCACATTCTATCCACATAATTCGAATATTTAACAAAAAAAAAAAGGATTACAAGTATCATATAAATATACATATCCATTACCCCCATCATATATATATATATATATATATTATATTTCGCTTTTTTTGTCAACATAGAAACTTATATTAAGCAAAGGGATTAACCAAACCGGAATAACAGAAACATATATATTATAGATATGATACATTATGATAAATTAGTAGGCCTCAATCCTCATTGTTAATTTTAAAATCAACTACTAGTTTCTTTCATTAGTGCTGCATTTAGTTATTATGATCTATAAAAGAAAGTACACGTATAAGTCTATTAGATGAGATCGAATATTTCCTCCACTTGTGGTATCATAATTAAGTGACCTACAGACTAGTCTATAGAATAACTAAGCAATACAGTGCTGAATCAACATTATTGTCCTCTTGGACCAGCACTCGCATGCGTTATGGTTCTTTTCATTCTTAATTTTTTAAACCTTTTGTTCCTTTCAGATTCGGATCACTAGCTTATCTCCGGCAAATATGGTGGTTAGAAGCAGTCGGAAACATCAGATTCGAATTTGCACCCGGAAAATACAGTCTACTTTTCAAGATACAATTAGGCAAACCTTTGAGAAAGTGTGGGAGAAAGACATGTAATATAGACCAAGTTCATGGTTGGGAGATCAAACCGCTCCGGTTTCAACTGTCTACATCGGACGGCCAATGCGCAATGTCGGAAAGACATTTGGACGAATCGGGGAGGTGGTTTTATCATCACGTGGGTGACTTCGTTGTAGATAATCAGAACTCACCAGTTTGGGTAAAATTCTCTATGCTCCAGATAGATTGTACACATACCAAAGGCGGGTTATGTTTAGATTGTGTGATCATATGTCCATTTGAGTATAGAGGAAAATATACAAATTTCGATTAATTTTTTTTGAAAGGTTTTGTTTTGATATGTTTAGTTTGTAGGATAATTTTTTTTTGTAAATATATAAAATCTGTATATAATTGGAACTATGCAAATTCATATTATTTCTATGGAGATGTAATTCTAGTCGAGAAATGTCAAGATATATGGTACTAAATACAATATGCTTATAATTTTGCTATTCTATGGTGACTCAAATCTTATAATATACTTTTAAGGATATTTTTCGTATACTGAACTGGAAGGAAAGTCATGGGCCAAAATGTCATGGTACGGTATCGTGCTAAGATTAGAAATCATATTTTTTTTATTATTATTACAATTGGATTTTTGGGATATTTATAAAGGAGGGATGACATTCGTTGACTTGCTCGGACATAATTCTAACAAGGTGATTTTTCATCCCTAAGATACACAATATATATGGCTCATTCCTCCTTTTGATTTTTGCTTCTAATAATACTTCAACAAATCCCTCGACTTCTGTTCTTTTTTTTTTGGTTGTGCCGTAAGGATTTTAGGGGATAAATTTGATATTTTCGTTACATTAGATGCCTTTTTTTCTTTCTTTTGTAATAAGGCGCATTATTCTTATAGTAGAACATGATACTTGATACCCATTTGTTTATCTTTGCAAAAAGAAAGTTGGAAAGGTGAAAACAATTCGGTGGTTTTTTCAAAAGGAATTTATTCCTTTAAACACAATGGATGCAATATTTTCAACGATTTATGAGGTACATTATTTTCTTAAATTTTCTTCATTTTATAGCCAAAACATATAATCGCAATTAACTGAAATAACATAAGCTAGTAGGAATTTATTTTCTAGATTATAATAGAAATTCTGAACGGAGAATCTAGAATAAAGAAAAAGATTAGTAGTATAAAGAGTGTTGGAGAACGACTCTTTCCAAGAGCATTTATGCGGTTGTGCTGTCTTCTACTCATAAGTTTATATATTTTGTATCAAAATCTTGCTTATGTATGCGTGTGTAGTCTTCCAATACAAAGCAAAGTAGACATTGAAAGAGAGCAAGAGAGAGATGGGTTGGTTTGTTAAGGAAAGAAGAGGAGGTTCATGGAAACGAGGATGGTTAGAGGAAACACTGTTTACTTCATCAGCACCTCCTCTTACACTACTAACTCTCTTTGCCATCATATCTATTCTCCTCTTTCTCTCCTCGTACCCACGTTACAAGTACGAGGTTGAGAAAACCGCCATGAATCTCAAGCTCTTCCTATTATTACTCCCAATTCTCTTTGTCTTCTTGTTGGTCACTCTACAGTTCATCCATCGACTGATCTTCAGATCGTCTTACTACGTAAGAGCACACCAGGCCACGTCTCTTTTTGGAGAAGGACACTTTCCTTGGGGAGTCTTGCTTATGCTCGTTCTTCTACTTGTATTAGTTTCTAAACAATCTTACTTTCACTCCTTGTGGTACCCCACCTTATGATCTTTTCATCGTTTCTTTTTTGTCCACAAATCTATGTTTATATATTGATGTTTGCTTCTTGTAATCCATCACCAAACTCTACATATGTATTGAGACATTGTGTTACCAATTTTGCTATATTATTTATTTTTTTCTTAACTTTTGAGTAAAAATATGTCTGATAAGCTAGGATAAATAAACATCAAATTATCAAAATAGTCCTAATTAAGTAAATGCAAGAATATCAACAATCAAATGTTTGTAAATATGAAAACCAGGATTAGATGTTAGATTTGTTCAGGGGAATAAAGGATTGAATGACTTTCAGAAGCAAATATAAAAATAAGAATTACGAGAAGAAAATATGTGGAAATGTATTAAATCCGGAGTGAAATACAATAGCAAATGAATACAAAATTTTAATTTGGAGCAAATAGTTTTTGTTGTTGTTGTTGAAAATGACCTAATTTGGAGCAAATGAAATAAAAAGTAGAGAAAATGAAGTAGCAAAAATAGGAAAAGTTACTCACATATCATATAAATTAAATGATATGACTAGTTACATACAATTTTTTTTTTATTACTATCATATTTCGCCTATATTTTCCATACCTAGCGTATCCTTGTTACATATTATAGTAAAAAATATAATTACAAGGAATGCAATTATTTTTTAATTCCACATCAGAAAAAACGCATTGCCACGTCAGAAATCGCTGACGTGTATTAATGAACTCAGCCGTAAAGCATTACAGCGCAACGACGGCTGAGTTACGGTATGTTGCGGCTGATTTAAGGAAAATGGTTGAGTTATGAGCTAACGGCTGACTTACGTGTATAACCCAGCCTGGTGTTTTGGCTGACTTAATGAAATCTGTCTGAGTTATGAGAAAACGGCTGACTTACGAGCATAACCCAACCATAAGTTACGGCTGAGTTATAGCTCGATGGTTGATTTGTCAAAATTTGGCTGAGTTATTGTTTCGACACGACTGAATTAACTTTCTCAGGCTGGCTGAGTTATTGCTTCGTTACGGCTGATTTTTGTGTAAGTGTCATAAATCAGCTGTAATGAGCTGGGTTAACGAAAAACTCAGCCTAATTACAGTTAATTTAGTAGCGAAAGATTAATTACCACAATAGCATGCTTTGACAGCTGACTTATTAAACGATACGGCTGAGCTAAAGATTTTCAGTTGAGTTACAATATTAAACGGCTGAATTTGGCAGCCATTTTTCGTTTTTTAATTACTGTAATAGTATTCATGTTACAACTGACTTAAAATTTTGTTTGATGGCTGGTTTAAGACAGTTGATTTACGTGTTCGTTTGGTGTTCATTTGGTGGCTTACTTGCCACTTCATCAATTGAAAAATGACGCCATATGCACATTTCCATGTCATCATCAACAGAGAAATACGAAACGTCGTCTTCGTCTTCCTCGTCGTCCTTGTTTTCCTCATCGTCGTCATCGTCTTTCTCGTCGTTGTTGTTCTTCACCTTGTTTTTCACATCAACAGAGATATCCAGAACTTAAATTTTGAATATCCAATTCTTCATCGTCTTCTTCGTTCTTCTTCATTTTCGTTCATCCTTCTCCGATATATGATGGATCCGGTTTTGGTAATTGTAGTTTCCTGTAATTGGGTAAAGAAACACAAATATGTATTTAACACCGACGATAGAGGGTGTAGAGTTGTGCAAATAGATGTGGAAACAACACACGACAAGCTTGTGAAGTTGGTTCTCGATGACTACGGATTGAAGGGGTTGAGCCATCAGGTAAAGCTGAGCTACATGTTCTCGAACAAGGTTATAAAAAATATGTCGCATGATACTCCACCAGTTTATGTCTCCAATGATCGACAGTTGCAATGTTTTCTAAGCTTATGGAAAATCGATCAGCTATGTCTCTGTGTGGAGTTTATGGATAAAAAGTCTAGAAAAATTAGTCGGAAGGATGGATCGAGAGGAAGGATGAAACGGCCAATCAGTTCTGACTCAAAAGTAGAATCTGGATAAGAAGATTACGGTGGGGGATTTGATGGTTTCTGTTATGATTATAGTAAAAACCAAGACGAAGAAGACGATGAAGATGTCAAAGAACCAGATGACGAAGAAGAAGATGATGAATTTTCAAGCTGATTTGATGTTTTCGACGACTCCGATGGTGCGTCATTTGATGATGACAACTTTACTGTATACGGTGAGCCTAAGAATAAAGACGAAGATTCACCGACTCTGCCTCCTAAGAAGAGACCTCAGAACATTGAAATGACCAGATCGATCGGGAGCTTGGAGGCTTTAAGGTTGGAGATGTCTTCGCTAAACCTTGCTGTAGAACAACGATACGGGAGCAAAGACGAGTTGGAGAAACGACTGAAACTTCTTTCGGTAAAGGATAGATTTGATTTTGATGTACCAGTATCAAATCCGAGTACAATGATTATTAAGTGCTGGGTGGATGGATGTCGTTGGAGAGTTCGTGCATCTAAACAAGGGGATGAGCCGCATTTTTATGTTCGTATATACGATTCGAAACACACATGTTCTGTGATAGAACGTTCTAATCGATCCCGACAAGCAACATCTGATATTTGGGAGCTCTTTACAGGGACTTTCTTGGTGATGTTGGTCCGTCCGTTAAACCTCGCAGTGTCGGAATAATTATCAATAAGAATTTTAGTATAATGGTAATAGATTTTTTGCGGCTGACTTATAGATTGGTTTATGGCTGACTTATTGATATATTATGGCTGAAATGTCATTACGTTATGACTGAGTTATTCTCATTTCGGCTGATTTATTAATACACTCCGGCTGACTTATAGGTTGTTGACGGCTGACTTATCATTACGTTATGGCTAGGTTATTCTCATTTCAGCTGATTTATTAATACATTGTGGCTGGCTTATGGCTTGTTTACGACTGACTTATAGGTTGTTTACGGTTGAGTTATAGATATATTATGGCTGACTTATAATTACGATACAGCTGAGTTATTCTCATTTCGGCTGATTTATTAATCTGTTGATGTCAACAGATGGATTATTGGAAGTCACATAGGACGCTAAGGTTTGCAAGGCAGATCGATCTGGTGACTCCTGAGAGTAGTTTTAAAGAATTGTCTTTTTACCTATACATGATAAGACGGGCAAATCCGGGTACAATCACGCGTCTTCAAATTAATGAGTGTGGAAGATTCAAATATGTGCGTATTGCTTTTGGTGCGAGTGTTGATGGGTTTCCTTTCATGCGCAAAGTTGTTGTTGTCGACGATACGTTTCTCCAGTTACAAAGGGATGCTTCTAACAGCCCTAGCCCATGATATTAATTTTCAGATTTTCACAATAGCTTTCGGTATTGTTGACACTGAAAATGATGATTCTTGGCGTTGATTATTTACGCAACTCAAAGTTGTTATTCCTGACGATAAGGATCTTGCGATAATCTCAAACAGACATAAGTCAATAGGGAAAGCAATTGGTGATGTGTATCCATTGGCTTCTCGTGGAATTTGCACTTACGATTTGTATAAGAACATTTTGGTCAAATTTAAAAGAAAACATTTGTTCCCTCTGGTGAAAAAAGCGGCAAGGTATTTTAGGCTGGCTTATTTTACTGAAGCGTTCAATGTGATTGAAGCACTTCATCCTGAACTACATGGATACCTCCAAAGAGCTGGTGTCGGAATGTGGGTGTGTGTTCATTTCCCGGGTGAAAGGTACAATTTAATGACTATGAATATTGCGGAATCAATGAA